AGAAGCATACGATGGAGTCACCGATCCACTTGACCACTTGCGGACCTTCGTTGATTTAATGAGGCTCTATGAGCCCCAGACGCAGTGATGTGCCGATCTTTCCCCCGACACTCAGGAGAGAGGCTAGAGACTAGGTGGCCACCTTGGTACCCGGGTCTATAAAGACTTTTGAAGAGCTTTCCAGGAGTTTTGTGGCATACTTCATGAATAGCAAAAGGAAGGGTAGGACGACCATTGGATTGATGCAGGTTCTGCAAGAAAAAGACGAATCTTTGGAGGAGTACTCGGCTAGGTTCAGACGAAAAAAACTTGGTATAAATGACCTTCAAATGTTTGCAGTGGTAACATCGTTAATGAATGAGACGTGGAACCGGACCTTTAAGATGTCACTCTCCAAAACTCCCTTTAGAATCGATGCATGACTGTTGAAAAAGGGTGACAAGTACGTTGATGCAGAGGAAGCAGAGAAGGCCACTAAAAATCTCAGAGAAAGATAGGAGGCAAAAAGTCACAAGCGAAATGTGATGAGCGAAAACCAGTTGATAAAGAAAAGCTGAGGAATGAGAGCATAAATAAGGGGTACACTCAGGATCGATCGGTTAGGCAGAGGCGAGAGGAGGTTTTGGCCTTCACCCCTTTAAATACTCCACGGGCCAAGATATTAATGGAAATTCAGGACATGAAAGAGCTCGACTAGCTGAGACCGATGGCGGCGTCTGCCTGTAAGAGTGACAGAGCAAGTACTGTCATATCCATAAAGACCATGGGCACGACACGGAAAAACGCATTCATTTGAAGGAGGAGCTCGAACGCCTCTTGAAGCAGGGTTTTTTGACGAAGTACGCGAAGAATGATCGAGATAAGCAGAAGGTTGATGACCGACCATCGTCCAGAGCCGGAGTTATTATTGGAGGGACTACAACGGGGAGGGACTCGAACTCGGCTAGAAAGAGCTATGCACGCACAGTCAGGGTCTGCTCCATTCAGAAAAAGACCAGGTTCAATCAAAGCATTACTTTTTTGGTGAGGAAGATTTAATAGGTGTGGTAACCCCCATGATGATGCCTTAATGATATTCGATGACATAGCGGACTACGATGTCAAGAGGGTGTTGGTTGATGGCGGTAGCACAGCGAACGTTCTCACTTGGGAAGCATTTGTGGGATTGAAAATTTCGTCGGAAAAGGTTAAAGCAGTATCCACCCCTTCCAAGGATTTAGAGGGGCTACTGTAATACCGGAGGGAGTTGTGAAACTGCCAATGATATTGGGTACTTACCCCGCAAGCGTGGTGATCTTGACGAACATTTTGGTTGTCAAGACCTCCATGGCGTATAGTGCAATCTACGGTCGACCCCTACTGAATGCTGTTAGGGCTATTCCCTCCACTTACCATAAAGTGATGAAATTCTCAACCATTCGTGTTGTGGGGTGTGTGAGGGGTGATCAACAATCTTCAAAGAAGTGTTATGTTAACAGTATACAAATGAAGGGATCTCCACCGGTTATGATGTTGGACCTTGAGCCTCCAAGGGGGCGAATTGAGCCTTTCGATACTACGGAAAAAATTTTGCTAGCAGGAGAGTGTTAATTTAGTGGGGGACGGAGTTGGGAAGGACCACTTGAAAAGTGAGCTTATTACTTAAAGGACTTGAAAGGAAAACCACTGGTAGGCTGTTGAACACTGAGCATCTCAAAAAGTATTATCAGTAGACCAACGTGCAGGGATTTCGAGTCGCATGATGCTTTTTTTGTAAATGTAGTTGCTAGAAGGTTTCATTTTCTTTTCTAATGTAATGATCTCTTGAAAATATAGTAGCAATCATGTTCATCTAGTATTCGTTATGTAATGTCTGCTACAGGCACTTTTTATTGAAATTGTTTAATGAGAAGCCTGGATGGCGACAGATGATGAGGGTGCTAAGGAAGGGCCAGCCTAGCTGGGACGTCTTGGTGCGCCTACTGAGTCCC